AAATGATTCACGGATACCCTCTCTAACAGCTTCGGCAATTTTTTGAATATCCTCTGGAGATAATGTCAATGGACCATTTAAAACATAGTGGGGCTGAAAACCAGGGTTGAACTGCTGGAGGTGTGGTTCTAAATTTTCATAGCCATGAGTTGATGGGGATGTTTGCGTTGAAGCGCATATTGGAGATGGCTTTTGATGCTCCTGTATGGTAGTGTTTTCAGATACCGACCCTTCCTTAGATTTTTTAGGGGTGCGAGCTGCCGCATCAGCAAAAGATTTTGACATATCTTGAAGAGTTCTTTTATTAGATTCACCCATTTTCAAGAATTTCACAATACCACTAATATAAACACACCTTTATAGAATCAAATGTAATTATGCAATATACAGTAACATAGGTTTACAAGCCTTATAACTGAAAATTCAGGCTTAGGACGACTCCATGCCACACATCCAGGTTAGAGTGAGTAATGTTCATAACGCTAACACCAGCATATAAAATTCAAACACAAATAACTCACATATTTCAGCATTGCTCCCTGAATTTTCAAATCATAACACACCCTTCAATGTTCTTATAGTTCTCTTATAGTTTTCAAGCCTATACCACATACATTCTCAGCTGAATTCAACTTAAAACTCACATTTCGTCGTCGGAGCTGATAAAAAACCGTACACCAATAAACAAGGGCCACAACTGAATCAACAAAATCTATGTATCCCTACTTAAATAGGTTCCTATCTCATAAAAGAAGTAATATTTTATTTTCTAAAACAAGTGCATATTTGGCCAAGACACATAATTTTGTGAAAAATTGAGAAGTTTAACTTTACTTTCAATAAAATATTTGAAGAATTTTAAAAATACTAAAAAGTTTTGTAACTGTAAATTTTCTTAGAACACAATTCTACACAATTAGAATATCCTAATTATGAATACACAGTTCAATGTAATTTTTGAAGATTTTAAAAAATATAATTTTTTGATGAATTTAAGAAATATTATAAAGTTTTGCTAATGTAAAATGTAAATTTTCTTGGAAGATTTTCAAGCATTTATTTACACATTTTACATTTCCTAATCCAAAAAAGAGTAATGTAACTTTTGTGTGATGGAGATGAGAAAAATTTCTTTACGGTATATCTCTTTAAGTATCGTAAGTTATTTGTTACTTCAATAATTCGAATCCAAGAAATAATGAAAGTAAGACAGTGATGATAACTTTCAAGTTGCTATTCCTTGTTGTATAAGATTAAATCAAGGTTAGAACATTGAATGAAAAAAGGAATAATTTTTCAAGACAAGATTCTTGCGCTAATATGTCAACTTTCCATTTTGAGATGCAGAGAAATTTGATACATGGCACATAGAATTAGCTTGAACATGGGATAAAACATATGTAAAAACGAGGATATCGCACAGTGATCGATCTTATAAAATCTATGAGCAATAAATATATGTGAAGAGGGCATAAAACACGGACCCCTGGAAATTCCAAAGATGGGATCAGATGTTTTAAATCCCTGTCCTGCGCATATTTTCCCTTTGCTCCATTCTTGCTTTTCCTTCGTATTTAGAGTGCTTTTGGAAAGAATATGCAGTGACTGTTTTCCAATTCTATATTCTCTTATGCTCTTCTCGAAAAGTCCTGAAACATACCTGTATCAGTATTGTTACCTCGGTATCTAAAATTCATTTTCATATTGTCCATTAGTTATCAAATGACAGACAGTTTTTTCCTTTGATCTTAAAAAAGGGTATATATCCCATATCATCATAAGTGTGGTGATACATTAAATATCACACATGTGATAAAAAGCTAGCGATATCCAATTGTTAGACCCACGGTGTAGGGGGAGCTATACGAATGAGATAAAATTCGATTCTAATTTTTAATTAACTAACCAAAACAAGAAAAATACAAACACAAAAAACATAGCAATTATCACACGACTGATAATGTTATGTCTAAAATATTAATAATTTCCTTGCTCTTCTGGAGCAGAAAACAGTCTTAATCAAAGTGTACAAATGAATTAAATCACTCTTTACAAAAAACTCATTGACACGGAGCAGTTTTCGAAGTTTATCACCCTTAGGAATTCGCACATCAGACTGTTTAGGAATAATAGTAGAAATTTTCTCCCCGGCATCCTCCTGTTTTGGAATAATAGCATTTTCCTTCTCCACGTCGTCACACAGTTTCAGAGATTTTATGGCCGGCTCCAGTGCTCGACTTACTTCAAGGAATTGTTGCTCCGATTGCCTTTTGTATGCTCTAAATGCGGAACTAAGGTGTCATGTTCTCTCCGTGATCTGTGACTCTTCAAAACTTAGTACATTGCAAGGAAACAAATAAATATTGGTATTATTAATTCGTGACAATCACGTTATAACTAGTATACTTTTATACGATCAAACCCCCTTTTTAAGAAAATTTAACCAAATCTTAGCTTATCGGATTGAAACAATGTTGTTACGCAGGTACGTTTCCCCAAGTGATTTGAAAAGTCACAAACCCTGCATCAGCACACGTGGTCTTGATAATGATAACTAGCTTGTTGACCCCAATAGGTTGGATTCTGAAACGTGGTTCGGGTCCGTCTATGGAATGATCCTTCCCCCCACCAGAGAAATGTAGGACGAATAAACATCAAACAAACTGCCGGGTGTACCGAATTCTCAGAAGTGGCATATCGTCTTGGCAAGAAGGTTCCTCTGGTTTATTCCACTGGACAAATTCTTTGATGTGTGCCCATATTATTCGATGTATGACTTGCCATCTGAATTGCCACATTTTAATTGACATATTTCTAATTTTCGGTGTTCCTCTAGTCCACGGAGTCTAAAACGTTTACAATTGTAATAAAATACAGTGTTAATGTAACTTTTTGAAGTATACGATCCCAGTATTTTTTTTTTTTTTTCTCACAGGAAAATCACTTGTTCCGGCGTTAACAGATCCAGTTGCTTTACTGACCCTTCTATTCCTTGGGATGCTAGCTCTTTCATACACGAGTCTAGAGTTTTCCTGAAGTCGTGGAAACGTGCATCTTTGACATCTAAAATGTTCATATCATGAACATCTTCCTATCGCATATACCGTAGAATACCGGAACAAATTTGATATAAAGTCCTCAGGGGAAGGGGAAACCATTTGCGCGCCTGGCTTCAGTCACAAAACATGAAAAAGTGTATGCAAGTTCTTGGTATGTACTTGTAAGGATTTCGGGAATGATTTTAAACTCACCAAGTTGCTGTTGGTTTCGCTGAGATTTCCAGTCGTTGAACACTTTAACTGCCCAGGAAGTGTTACGGCGCGTGTTTTTATTTTCTTGGTTTTTGAAGCGCACTAATTTCACTGCTACACAGGTTTCCCGAATGTTGTATTTTCAGTCAATTCCGTAAAAAGCGGTTGAGCGTCTTCCTGTTTCAATTCCGGAAATGCTTCCAAGCACTAACTTTGTAAATCGAAATTCCCAAAGTCCTAATTTAAGTCCGATTGACTCAGTTTATACTGCATAACTGCTTGACTCAGGTGAAAATTATTCTCATCATACATGTACGTCTGGAATTGCTGAAAAACAGCGTTTTCATATTCGTTCTTTAGCTGAACTCCGTCCTCCATCTTCGTCAAATGCAGCGCAACTAATGAATTGATTATCGGCAAAAAAATGGTCATGTAGTATTTAAAGTGCTATAAGAATTACCGAAGAACAATGTACGGTTTAAGCTTTATTGAGTCCTAAAAATTTAATGTTTTCAAAAAGTTTTGAAACTGGCTTAAATATTAGTTGGGTATATGACTATGATAAATCAGGAAAGAATATGGCATGAATGGGTACAATTCTGGAAATATGATTTTATTAATTTGATCCTTTTTTTCTATTTTAAACAGAAGAAGCCTCAAAATGACCCATTTCAAGGCTTATTTTCTTTAAGAATGAAGTGTCCACCGTCATCGCCCACTTTAATTTTCGGATATGTTGTGTGAAATTCTTTTAAAAATCACATATTTCAAAATCTTTGTGGGCGATGCCTGTGGACAATATTATCTGAAAGAAAATTCCATTGAAAATGGGTGTCTTCTGCAACTTTTTGAGAAAATAAGGGAAAATGCACATGTCAATGACGTCACAATTCAATTAAGAAGGTCATGTGAGAAAAATGATTTGTATGATCTTTATGCCTTGAATTTCAATGATTCCGAAACCATGAGTTTTAATTTTTTACATCAGTTTCATTTTTAAGAAAACACATTGCAAGATTTATATTGAAACTATACCTTGTTCTTAAGTTCGTTGCTTGAATACCATAAAACCCTTTGCGTTAAATCTATCACATGGTTCTGTTTCAGAGTCTTTATTAGTTGATGCAAAGAAAATACCAAATATGGGAAAAGGTCAAATCAAGGGTCATCGAATAAATCAGTTACATGATTGACAGCTCGATGATGCATTTAAAATATCGTTTCGCTATTGCAAACTCGGAGGGTCACGGCTCCTCGCGTGCAATAACTCAACGATTTTTTGTATGCATCATCGAGCTGCCATCATGTACATGTAACTATTACGAAGAAAAACCATATAGATTTAGCGTAGTGAAACCCTACAGAAAATTTCCGTAACTTTTGTATAGTTTTTGATTGCAAAAATCATACATGAAAGTTAAACATTAAGTTTCCGCAATGTTTCCATGCTTTTCCAGTGCCCTTTGGTTCATACTTCACTGAAATAATGTCCATGGGTAAAACTGTAAGTCATTTGTCAGGTCACTGCATTTCTTCACAATACCTTTTTTATCGTGATTACCCTTACAAAAAGCGGGATCTTGAAAAAGTTCACAATCTCAGAAGTATCTAGTTTCTGTGCAATTTCTTAAATTTTATGTACATGAAAATGAAATGCTAGTGTTCTAGAGCCCCCCCCCCCCCCAAAAAAAAATGCCTCGAACTTAAAAATATAGGAAATTATATCTATTTACAGCATGAAATTAGTACCTTCAAGTGTTTCAACTTCACGCAGAGTGTAGTTTAAGAACACGTATTCCTCTTCAGTTTCAATTTCTGCTAAAGTGCCCCCAATATCAAAACATAACACCTGAAAATACATTAGTTTTAAGTGATGATACCTTTATCCAAAATAGCATACGATGGACCTGTCTCAAAAACAAATTTTACAAAAACATATCCATTCTAGTACGCCCCACGAACTTAAAATTGTCCTAGATATGTATGGCTAAAAAATCTTCAGAATAACTTTCAGATTTTATTTAACAGTTTTCCATACTGATGCTGTTAAGTGAGAAATACGTATGATGCTGAAACTATTTAGGCAAATCTTTCAAAATCAAACAAAAACACCCAGGAAATTCCACACATCATTCTTTAATGCCTATTTTTCATTTTTCATCTGAAAAAAAAATTATTTGGAACATTCTTAACGAGGTTCGCTCCTGAGCTTTTGAGCAGATTCTTATCTTAACCTATATTTCAAAAATACTCCATAATGTTTTAATTCTTACTATAAATTTGGATTCTACAATGCCAATTTAACTACATTCAGTTAAAACCCCATGATTAAATTCCACACCAAAAGCATTAAGTGAGGAACTATATTTTGTGGCGGAAGGTTTTTTAGAAGAAAATGATCATTTTTTTCTCTTTCGAAGTATTTAAAGTATGTTAAGTTTGGATTCCTTTTTTTACATGCAGGCTGCACACATAGTTATTTTGTGCATTGGACTGTTTTATACTAGTCCTAAATTATCTATTAAATAAACTGTCATGAACTGTCATGAAATCTATCATCAAAATTTCTTCGTTGTTACAAATTTTAATGTGTCTATTTAAGATGAAATAAGACTTTGTTTGTTCACCATAATTTATTTGAACAAAAATATCGAAGGAAAAACTTTAAAAATTGATTTATGTGTTGTAAGACGTATTTACAGTGCAGAAAGGTCAAACTAAATGCTCTAAATTTTAAAAATATACTTGATAAAAAATTCTCATTACTTTTGATGGCAGGATCCAACCTTCTTAAGATGAAGTGTTTTGAAAGAATGTCATTCAAATCTTTTTAAAGTAATAAAGGCAAGTCTATTAGTCAAAATTAATAGAAAAATCACCCCCCCCCCAAAAAAAAAAAAAAATCAAAATTATACATCTCACATTGGGCGTTTGAGGATGTACAAAATTTGACGAAGTCTATTTCAACTGAAGGAGAATTTATTCAGCTTTTTCAAAAGAAAATTCTGTCTACACGTGACATATGAATACCGTCAAAAATTTAAAAAAAAAAAAAAGTACTACAAAAGTAGGTATCTGATATGCATATGTTGTTAAGTTATCAGACTGAGACTGAAATAGAACTACAACACTAAAATGTTCGAAAAAGGACCATATACGTCATATATATATATATATATATATATATATATATATATATATATATATATATATATATATATATATATATATATATATATATATATATATATATATATATATATATATATATATATATATATATATATTACAGTCAATATACATATCAAAAATTGATAAATAAAATTACGAGAGAATGTTGTTTTCACCTGAGCATGATTCCAACTCGCTCTGGCCGGTAATAGTACATAGTTGGACTTTCCTCTAGTAGAAATTGAGTTTGCAAAAACTACAAAATAATATAATAATAGCTAGATGAAATCTCCTTGCGAGTAACATTTAGGTCTTCCGTCCGATTTTTGAAAGGGATAAGATATGAATTGACTTTGATATTGAGATATTCTTTAATGAAAACATATAAAAAGATTATAACACTTTCTGTTCATACAGCAGAAATCGTTAAAGAACCATAGACTAAAGACATTCAGCTCTAGCGGACGTCTTACGTAAGGAATCAGCCCTTTTTTATTGATATTAAATAAATGTTCTAATGATTCTGAACATTTTATGTTTAGGAATTATTCAGAAATTACTTCTCTTTTCCGAGTAGAAAGGAAATATTTAAGGGCCAGCCCTATAAGTCCTTAACGGTGTCTTTTTGCAAAGATTGAAAGGTTTCATATTGTTTAGAATATTATTCGAAACATATTTTGTCGCACGCGTGGCGCATTGGTTAGAGAGTCTGCTCTAGAGTCGCGGGGTAAGGATCTTATCCTTACGTCAAGGGTTCGGAACCACTGCGAGACGTGGAGACCGGTCCTTCGGATGAGATCGTACTTAACTGAGGTTCCGTTTGGCAGTAGATGTAGGCACGAAAATAAGATCCCTCACTCCTTAATGGCCCTAAGTGCCGAGTATAGATATAAATTTGCAGTCCTCCACCGGCAAGTGATGGCGTCTCCATATAAGTGAAAAAATCACGAGAGGGACGTTAAACAGCAAACAAAGAAACGAAACATATTTTGCTCAGTAAAGCGTATCAAAATATTTAATCCTTTTGAGATATAAAGCATATCAGATTTAGCATGCTGCCTCTTTATGGTTCCTTATTACGTACCATATGATCAAATTATCATTATGTATAGTTGCAGATTGTTTAAAGAAACATTTGTTGCTTTAGTAATTTAAACCCAAATGTTGATCGTTAAAGAGTTCTAGGTTAAAGCCCTTCTGCTATGTACTATTCAGAAATATCTGGGGGTTTTTAGGTATATAAAAATATTTAGGGGTCAGTCCTTAAAGTATTTATTGGAACCATTGAGGGAATATTGAAAGGTGCATATATTGTTCGGAACATTATTCGTAATCTCCTATATCAATATTGCTCATTAAAATATTCCCCCTTTCGAGATATAAAACTTCAAACATTTAGTATTTGGCCCTACATACATGTATATACCCTACATTCGTACCCTATGATGAAAACAAGGAAACATATATCAATGAAAGAGGATCATTTTTTTTCTTCAGTAATTTATAACAAAATGAAATTGAGTAAAAAATATTGATTGGTAAGGAAGTATAGATTAATGTTTTTGGCGCCTCTGAGCCCCTTATTTGAGGGATCAGGCTCTTTTTCTTGATTTCAAATGAAAAATCTTGTAACTTTGAGGAAATTTTATTCAACAACTATTAAGATTTTTTTCTTTTATGAAATATGTGCAATGAGAATATTTAAGGGTGAGCCTTTCAAGTTCTTTATGGGGCCGGTTTGTACACATTGAAAGGTTGCATAACTATTCTTAAGAACATTATTCAGAATATCTTTGTTTAATATTGCTTTGTACCCTGCTAGAGATATAAAGCGTCAAAGAGTAAGAATTCTGGCCCCTAATGGTCACTTATTATGTAAATATGATTATAATTATCATATATACAGTGTAGGTGCACATTATTAAGATCGATATTTTTGTTTCAGTAATGTTTAAGAAAATATTGTTTGTTAAAGAGTTATACATGTAGTTTTTGCAAGTGAGTTAAGGGCTAGATATAGGTGTTTCTATCTAGATAAACTAATTAAAATGCATAACGGCTATACCTCTTGTACGGAGAAAGTTAAAACCGGTTTATTGCATAAAAATTACCAACGACGTGTTATGAACATGAACTTATCATGAATTCATTGTTCTTTACTACTCGAGGTTGTAAAATATACCAACAAAACAGCTTCGGTGCAAGGCTAGGGCATACCCTATTTAATTTTAGAAAAAAAAAGTTATAATTAGGGGCAGAATATTCCAAGGATTGATTGTTGCACAAATATTAACAGTTCAATTATTTAGTTATTATTTGTAAAGTTTTTAGTTGAAATTGAGTAAACATGAACTGTCCGGTGTAAGTTTTATTTAAATTATTATGAAAAAAAAAAACAGCGTAAAATTTGCGCAACAATTTTATTAATCATTAGAATATTCTTCTAAGCATTTTACATTTTTAATATAAAATTGATAAGGATATGCCCTTTCGCCGAAGCTGTTTTGTTGATGTGTATTATTACCATGTGTAGAAGAGAACAATGACTGCATAATATGGCTTCATAATCTGTTCTGGATATAACGTCGTGGGTACTAAATACGTATTAAAAAAAAAAGGAATTTAAACTTTGTATAATAGATATACCTCTTACGCATTTTAATTCGCTTATTTACACAGAAATGCATAAGCAAATCGATCGAACCATCTCAAAAAATACACTATGATTACAACAATTGAAAAAGTAATTTTCTAAATTGTTAAGAGATTCTTAATATACAGAGTGGTTTATGTAAGCAATTGAAATATATGAATTTTCTACATGGCATTGTTAGTGATGGATACACTTGAGCTAATAATAATTCGGTAACATTATGATATGATTTTAAAAAGGCAATGAGCAATGATGGTCTTCCGTCCAATTTTTGATAAAATGAGATATTTTTGACTGAGATATACAATCATAATTACTGGTAAATACAAAATGCACTTGAAATTTTATTTTGATGCTTTAAGATTATTTTTCTGAACTTCTGTTGATTAAGATCGATAATGCTTTTCTGCATGATTCAATTTACGAAAAAAAAAAAGATTTTATATTTAGCTTCTGGCCCCTAGTGACCAATACTTAACATAAAATCAAGGTATCACTTGCTGTAATAAGAGATCTTAAAAATATTTTCTCAACTGATGTATAACAAAATGTTAATCTATTAATACCTATCAAATAAAGATTTTGTCCCCAGTATTCCCCTAATGTAAGAGGTCAACCCCTTGTTCTTGATGTCATATAAAAGATCTTTTGATCCTGGAGACTTTTTGTTCAACAATTTTTCAGAAGTTTCTTTTCATTATCTGAGGTATTTATAATATATAGAAATATTAAAAGACCAGCCCTTCAAGTCCTTAAGGGTTAATTTTGCCAAAATTCTAAGATTGTGTATTGCTAAAACCGTTATTCTAAACATCCTTTGTTCTATATTCTTATCAAATTCTTTTTCACTTTTTCGAGATATATATTGTCCATGATTTTTTACTCTGGCCGCTCTGAGCACCTAGTTTGAGGGACCAGTCCCTTTTCTTGATACCAAAAGAAAGGTAAAATGACTTTAAAGACTTTTTGTTCAACAACTATGAGGATTTTCTTTCCGTTTTCGAGATATTTAGAACAGAAATATTTAGGGACCTGTACTTCACGTCATTTTAGGTGCTGTTTCGCAACATTTGAAGGGATGGATATTTTGTAGAACATTATTAAAAAAACATATGTTGTTTAATTTTGATTATCAAAATATTCCCCCTTTTGGAGATATAAAGCCTCAAATATTTAACATTCTGACCCTCATGGCCCGTAATTACGTAACAAATGATCGATAGTTTATAATATATTGTTGCAAATTGTTCAGATAAACATTTTTGCTTGAGTAATATATAGCAAGTTATTGATCGATAAAAAGATATAGATTAAAGTCTTTTGGCCTTTGAGCCCCTAATTTGAAGGTTCCTTACTGTTTTCTTGATCTCAAATGAAAGATTTTATACCTTTGAAGACTTTTTTATCAACAACCTTTTCGGAAGTTTCGCAGTACAGTTAAGGTGACAAATGGAAATATCGGCGAATTTTTTATATAGAAAATACATTCTTTACAAGGATGGGCGATTCTTTTTAGGACTTTACTATTATCAGACAAATGTAATGTGGTTGAAAACTACATGTTGGGGACGTTTAGATTTCTTACCTAGACTTGTGACGTAATGTGGCAGTCACGTGATTTTAGCAAATATACCTGCAGTATTGAGGTCATCTATAAATTCCAATATTGCAAGGGCAAAACCACGTTGAAAATCTAAGTTTAATTTATAATTATTTTCAACACTCTTTGTAGTTTGTGAAAAGTTCTGCGAACATATATAGATTCTACTATGTGACTGCTAAAATTACGTTTGTAAGACCGTATGCTGAATATTTTGCTGGTCAAGTACATTAAATATAGATATAATTAATTCATTTGCAAGATTTCATCAGGTTCGCAGCACTTTTCAAATATCTTCATACCTCTTGAGTTTATGTGTAGAAGCTTGTCATAATTCATTGAGGGTATGCCCTTGCAATATATCGATTTATTACGACCCTTCTATTACCCTTCAATGAACCTGCATACAAATATACGGCAGTATCGTTTGTCTAGGAAATGTGCGGGAAGTATATGATTAAAATCATAAAATATACATCGCATCCAAGTTAATGGCCTCTTATATATCTGCAAATATATTTTATTTACTTACAAAATACATTTTTCATTGTATAAAATATAACTTGATCCGCCTCTCACTGCATACAAACTGCGTCAAATTTTGCGGTATGACGTCACATTGACAAGTGCATTGCGATCAGTGAATTGTTTATATATTGCTGTGTGGGATTAAACCAACGACAACAATACATGCAATAGTAAGTATTGATGTAGTTTAAAGCTATCCAACAGTTTAAAATAGCAAATCATTTCATTTTGTGGTAATTTGAAGAACATATACATTTGTGTGATGTCATAGTAAGCATTTCCCGTAAAAATTACTGCCTCCTTACTGCAGCCTTAACTGTGCTGCGTTCTGTACGTTTTCGAGCTAAAGAAATATAAATGATAAGGGGTCACTATATTTAGTATATATAGTAAATGGGACCGATTTGCCAAAAAAATGTGTTCTTGAGATTGATTGATTGTATGTTGTTTAACGTCCCATTCGAAAATTTTTCACT